CCCCTCTCAGAGGCCGCGGGCGGCGAGGGGCGGCCGGCCGTTCCTCAATGGCTTACTGTTCCGGCGGTAATCCAGGCTCCCGCCCGGCGGTGAGTAAATCTTGGCGTGTCTAAGGAAACTTTACCGGCCCGGGGTGGGGGGGGGTAGGGGGGAAACGGGACCTGGGGGAGCCCCCCTGCCCCCCTCCTTTTTTTTTTTTTTTTTTTTTTTCCGTTTCTTTCCTTTGGAGCTCTGATCTCTTTGATCGTAAAAATGGTCATATTTCACCCCCAAATATCAGCCATCAGCGGGCGGAGGAAGTGGGGCCCGGGGGAGTTTGGCCGCTGATTAGGGCCGCGGTGTAATTGTTTGACGCCCGCCGGGCCGCGCAGGCTGCGAACACACGCTCCTGGCGCGGGTTCAAGAGCGAGTTACCGATAATCAGAACGATTACACCCCCAATTAAGCCCGGGAGCTGAGAGCCTCCGCCCGCCCCTCAGCCCTGCCTGGTCCTCAGCCACCGCCCCCGTCCCGTCAGCCTGAGGGCCCCCCACCCCCGTGCTGCGTGCAGGGGGGCCTCGGAGAGTGCAGGGCCCAGCCCACTCCCTGCGGGGGAACCCCGGGAAGACGGGGGAACCCCGGGAAGATGTGGGCCCTGGGTGAAATGGACCTGGCCGCTGAGTGATTGACAGTCACGTGTCTTGCAGGGGGTGTTGTGGTAAAGAATGACACTGCTATAACTCCATAAAAAATAGAGAGAACCCCCCTGGCTGAGCGGCTCAGTTGGTTGCAATGTTGTCCTGTACCCCAAAAGGTTGTGGGTTCGATTCCCAGTCAAGGTACATAGCTAGGTTTTGGGTTTGATCCCCTGTCAGGGTGCTTACAGGAAGCAACTGATCAATGTTTCTCTCTCTCTCTCTCTCTCTGTCTCTCTCTCTCTCTCTCTCTCCCCTCCCTTCCTTCTACTCTCTCTAAAAATCAATGAAACAATATCCCCAGGTGAGGATTAACAACAACAGCAACAACAAAACTTACCTTCAGAAATGATTCAAGGTTTGCAGATTAAAACAAGGAAATGCCTTTTGAAATAACAAATCAACTGTTAGGATGGCTCCTCAGAGATGGCAGCCCTCCCCTGGCATCCCCCTCAGACCCCCCGTGAGCAATCGGTCACCACAGAGAGAACCGGGTTCCAAACGGAGCGTGACTGGCAGAGACGCAGAGGCACTGACAGCAGGACGCGGGAAGATCCCAGGGTCTGCTGGCCACGCCTGCCGGCGGTGATGGGAACGGCGAGAAAACCAAGCACATCTCCCATGGCCTCCGGAATGACAGGAGCAGGAAGGAACCGCGCGCTGTGTGCGACAGAGTGCTGTGTGCTGCTTCCACCATGCTGCCTCTGCGAGCCCAAAGCTGGTGCGGGAGGAGCAGCCAGCCGGCCAGCAGCGCCACCAGCCCAGCGCCAGGCTGCTGACCAAAGGGAAGAGACTTCCAATGCACCTTTAATATAAATATATTTCAGAGAGGAAGGCAGAGGGAGAGAGAGAGAGAAACATCCATGATGAGAGAGAACCATTGATCGGCTGCCTCCTGCACGCCCCACACTGGGGATCGAGCCCACAACCTGGGCCTGTGCCCTGCCTGGGATGGAACCTGTGACCTTCTGATTCCTAGGTCACTGCTCAACCTCTGAGCCACGCTGGCAGGGCTCTCTTCCGCTTTTAAGGGCCCCTGTGAGGACATTGGGCCACGCGGATCCTGTAAAGTGATCTCCCCTTCTTACCATCACCCGGCGGCGGCTTAATCCCCTCGGCTGCCTGACTTCGGCCGGCCTCGTCCCCGTGCTCCGGGCGTGTGCTGAGGACACCGTTGGGAAGTTCCCGCCTATTTCTGGGTATTTGTTATAGAGAAAACACGAAGGGTGGAGAGCAATATGAGGAGCGTATCTCGAGGCTTTCCCTGAGAACGGCGTGGCCCAGGCCAGGGGGGCTGTCCGTTGAGCGCCATCCCGCGAGCACGGAAAGGGTGACGGTTGATTCCCAGCCGGGGCACAGGCAGGGGTTGCCGGCACAGTCCCCAGTAGGGGGCGTGTGGGAGGCAGCCCGTAGATGGTTCCCTTTCACATGGATGTTTCTCTCCCTCCCTCTTCTTTCCTCATTCCAAAAATCTATGTTAAAATCTAAAAAACAAAAACAAACCCCAAACAACCAAGAAAACAAAAACAAAACACACACACCAAAACCAACCAACCAACCAAACAAAATCCAGCGGTGGACACACCGAATGACACGGTAAGCAATTATTAAAACGTTGGTACAACATGGTTCGGCTTTCCTAATTATTCTAGATAGATGGTGGCTGTCCCTCCATCTATCTAGAACATGGATTTAAGCTAGAAAGATTACTCTAAAATGGAACGATGCAACCTACAAGTCCCTTTTCTAGGTCTCCGATTCGATGCTGAATAAATAAATGATTATCTCCCATCTCTGCCATTAAACCAACTTTAACAAGTGTCTGGAGCCCTGGCCAGTGTTGCTCAGTGGTTAAAGCATGGTCAGCCTGTGCAATGACGTTTCTCTCTCCTCTCTCTCTTTCTTTCTCTCTCCTTCCCTCTCTCCCTCCCTCCCTTCCGCTCTCTCTGAAAACCCCATGGAAAAACTGTCCTCACTCCTCGGGTGAGGATAAAAAATGTATGGAATGCTTATTGTGTGTCAGAGGTCCCTGGGAGGAGGAATAGGATAAATGGGATTTTCATTTTCATAATTTTACTGTGCTTTCTGAAATATCCACAATAAGGCCCACTTTTTATTTTATTCATTTTCTTTTTAGCACGTGGTTGTTGGACCTGGGCAAACACTTCCACTCCTGGTCAGCCCCAGGACCCAGTTTCCCCCAGAGCCAGCCCCAAGGGCCCGCTCCTCCTCCAGGGAAGTCCTCTCTGGAGAACAGCAGCCCGCTGTGCTCTGTTCCCTCCATCCCTCCTCGACCCCCTGCCAGGCGCAGAGCTTGTTTCAATAAACATCTGTTGAACTGAGAGGTTCCAAACTGGGGTCCTATTTTCCCTCCACCCCCAACTTGGGGTGAGCATCGTAGGGTTTATCGAAATCACCAAGAACGGGGTGTGTCAAGGACGGGATGGATAAGGAGTTGTGATCTCGTTGGGGTAGCAGGCATGCCCTTGCATTTCCAGGCTGCCACGGGCCTGGCTGTGGCTGGAGGGCTGAGCTTTGGTACCAGGCCCGGCCTCTTGTCCCCCTCTGCCTTCCCTCTACCACCCAGTCTCCTGCAGGGACTGGTAAGGACGATAATGCAACAGCAGCAGCAGCAGCAATGCCAAATGCACGTGAACCCTCTGGGCTGGCCCTTTGTTACCCCTCACACAGCTCCGAGCCTCCCAGCTGGTGAAGGCAGTGAACTCACTCAGACCCACCTCACCAGCTCCGAAGTCCACCACTGCCCCGCTCTTGCTTCTTGGAGAGAGACTAGATAGATAGATAGATAGATAGATATTTTATTGATTTTTTTACAGAGAGGAAGGGAGAGGGGTAGAAAGCTAGAAACATCGACCAGCCGCCTCCCGCACACCCACTACTGGGGATGTGCCCGCAACCAAGGTACATGCCCTTGACCGGAATCGAACCCGGGACCCCTCAGTCCACAGGCCGACGCTCTATCCACTGAGCCAAACCGGTTTCGGCATGGGATAGACGTTTAAGAAAATAATAAGTAACTCGTATTGAGTGCTAAGCACCCAGTGGCCACTTGTATGGACTCCCTCAATCCTTCCAGCAGCAGATGCGCGGCGAGAGCAGAGGAGCTAAGGAGACCGCTAAGGCCCACAGCCAGTGGTTCAAGTCTGCACCGAACCCCAAGAGGAGAGCCAGCGTGTGCAGAACCTCGGCCGCTGGCCCGCGACCTCGGGGTGCCTGCAGAGTGCGCTTTGTGTGCGGGAGCCCCGACGGGACATTCCGGGGCCTTCTCCCACCGCCTTGTTTTTGTCGCTGTGACCTCAGGGCTCTGCCGCCAGGGCAGAAGGACAGGCCGGCCCCCAAACCCCCTCCCCCCCTGGGGAAGGACGGGTGGCATCGGAGGGCTGCGAGCCAGCCCCCACCAGCGGCCCCTTTTCTGTGCTTCCCTTTCAAAACAAAAACAGGAGCGGAGACAGGGCCTGCCCCTCTCTGCCTGTCACCCATCTGTCAGTCTGGCTGTCGTCTGGCTGTCTGTCCTCCAGGAATTCTGGAGGGATCTCGGCCCCCCAGCTTGCTTTTCCTTGGGGAGGGTCTGGGGCCCTGCAGGTGGGCGGGGGCGGGGGTGTGTGTGCGTGCGTGGAGGGTGCGTGGGGGTGGGGGATGCGTGTGTGGGGGTGCATGTGCGTGTGTATGTGTGGGGGGTGCATACACCCCATAAGCTGGAGACCGTGGCCAGAGGAACAGACAAGGTGGACCCCGGAGTCTCTGTCAGGGCAGGGACCGCGTGGAGGGAGGCCAGAGGAAGTGAGGGGGGAGCTAGAGGGCCCAGACCTCCCCTGTCAGCGGTCCCCGAGCCGCTCCCCCTCTCCTGTAAGTGGAGGGGGCGGCTGCTCACCCTTCCGCTACCCCAGATGCGAGTTGGGGGAATTAAAAGAAAAAAAACACAAAACACTTAAGTTTCCCACCCCTTACAGGGTGGGTGCGGAGGGCGACACCCTCTCCTGCCCCCTCTCCCCGCCCCCCGCCGCCACCGGACCCGCGCGGGACCCCCGCCCTGCCCGGCCCGAGGGGCGGGGAGGGAGGAGAGGCGGGAGGTTTGCCTCCAGAGGGGCGTGTGGCCGGAGCGGCGCGGTGCGAGCGACTGCGGAGCCGGAGCGGAGCGGAGCCGGAGAGCGGTCCCCGACGCCAGCGCCGGGCCGGCCGGGGCCGCGGAGCCGGGGGCGGGCGGCGCGGGGGAGCGCGGCGGGGGGCGCGCTGGCTGCGACCCCGACCCCCACCCCGACCCCCACCCCGCCGGCGGCGCGGCCCGGGGCCCCGGGGCCCGCGGACATGGACAGCGCGGCCGCCGCCGCCGCCTTCGCCCTGGACAAGCCGGCGCTGGGCCCGCCGCCCTCCGCGCCGGGGCCGGGCGACTGCGGCCAGGCGCGCACCAACTTCTCGGTGAGCCACCTCCTGGACCTGGAGGAGGCGGCGGCCCGGCGCGCCCCGCGCCCCGCGGGCGCCGACGCGCGGGAGCCGTCCGCCGGCAGCAGCGGCAGCGAGGCGGCGCCGCAGGACGGTGAGTGCGGGCCGGCGCCGGGCGTGGGAACGGGGCGGGGGCCGGGGCGCGCGGGGCCGGCGAGGATGCGCCGGGGAGCCGGTCCCGGACGGAAATGAGCGGGCGCGGGGAGCCGGTCCCGGACGGGGAGGAGCGGGGCGCGGGGAGCCGGGTCTGGACGGGGAGGAGCGGGGCGCCGGGAACCGGTCCCGGACGGGGAGGAGCGGGGCGCGGGGAGCCGGTCCCGGACGGGGAGGAGCGGGCGCGGGGAGCCGGTCCCGGACGGGGAGGAGCGGGCGCGGGGAGCCGGTCCCGGACGGGGAGGAGCGGGGCGCGGGGAGCCGGGTCTGGACGGGGAGGAGCGGGCGCGGGGAGCCGGTCCCGGACGGGGAGGAGCGGGGCGCGGGGAGCCGGTCCCGGACGGGGAGGAGCGGGGCGCGGGGAGCCGGGTCTGGACGGGGAGGAGCGGGGCGCCGGGAACCGGTCCCGGACGGGGAGGAGCGGGGCGCGGGGAGCCGGTCCCGGACGGGGAGGAGCGGGCGCGGGGAGCCGGTCCCGGACGGGGAGGAGCGGGCGCGGGCGGAACCGGGGCACCGGCGCCGGGGACTGGCTCCCCGCGGCCACAGCGCCGTGTCCGGATGGAGCGGGTGCGAGGGCCGGAGCTCCCCGCCGCGGAGGGCTGTCCAGGGCGGCTGGGGAGGGGACTGAGGAGGGGCCCCCCAGCAGCCGGGGAAACAGGCTCCCGGGAGCGCAGCCGCTGACCACGCCGCCGGGTGCCACTCCGCCCCCCGGGCCACGACCACAGCTTCTGAGACCCGGGCTCTGCCCGGTCCGCGTGGCTCAGGGGTTGGAACCAGGAGGAGGTCAGGGTTCGATTCCCTGTCAGGGCGCATGCCGGGGTGGCGGGCTCCATCCCCAGTGCGGCGGGTGCAGGAGGCAGCTGATCAATGATTCTCTCTCATCACGAGTGCTTCTCTCTCAATCTCTCTCCCTTCATCTCTGAAATGAATTAAAACATAAATAAATAAAAAGACTTGGGTGCCTCGGCTGCGGGGTCCGGGCCTCGGTCCCCCTTCCCCTCCCGCTGCCCCACCAGCAGCTTCCTGGCTGGAATGTCCCAGGCCTCAGAGCCAGCTCAGCCTCTGCTCCCGATGAGGTGAAAGGTCATCAGGAAGGGGCTTTAAAAACAAACAACCCACCCAAGTGGCTTTTTAAAAATGGCGCGCTGGAGGGAGGGTCCCGAGCCCTCGGTGAACAGCAGGCGGGGAGAGCAGGAGAGAGGGATAAGGCACAGTCCAGCCCCGAGCAGCGTCACCAGGGAGTCCCCGAGTCCCTGCAGCTCACCCACACCCCGAGGAGGGGTCTGGCCTGGGACCAGTGACCGGTCCTTTCACTCTGAGCACAGGCGGGCCTTCCGAAGCCGCTGGGTGCCTAGGGGTCACCCTCCCGATTCCAGCATCCTTCCCGCCTGCCCTGGGCACCCCCACTTCCTGCACCAGCCTCCAGGTCTCAGGGGTGCCCCTGCTGGCTGCACACCCTGCTTCTGCAGGAAAAGGGGGTGCCGGGCACGCTGAGGGCCTGCAGCTTCATTTGGAACCTTGTGGGGAGTGTGTGTGTGTGTGTGTGTGTGTGTGTGTGTGTGTATGGGGGGGGCTGACATACGCCTGCAGCCAGCGAGTGCCCAGCCGTGCCAGCCGCGCCCCGTGGGGCTGCGGACTCCCCTCTCGCCCTCCGGAGTACAGGTGAAGCAGGCAGCCCACCCCGGGAGCTGGGGTGTCCCTGGTGGAAAAGTGAAAGAAAGGTGTCTGGCTTGGGCCAGGGGTACAGTGGGGTGCCCTCTGGTGTGGGAGGGGGAGCCCTGCCACCTTCAGTTTGTTCCGGGACCTCAGGCCTCCAGGGAGGAGCAGCTGGCCTCTGATCTCACCCTGATGGGGTGTGGAGAGGAGGAGAGAATGGCAGGGAAATTGAGGAAGGAAGGGAGGGAGGGAAGGAGAGGCGGGGGGGGGGGGCGAGGGAGTGGGCGCGTGGACATGGCCACAGCAGCCCCCGGTGCCAGGGTGGGCGGCCGGCCTCCCTCCATAAGAGCCAGGCAGGCTGGGCCTTTTCCTAAGGGGGGGCATCGGCACACGGGCAGCACCCAGGTGCGGGGATGGAGCACGGGGTCAGGTGGGAGGGGCCCGAGGGCAGCGGTCAGGCTGCTCCCCGAGGTGAGGGACCAGGGCCGCAGGCAGAGTCTGGCCTGTGAGGCCCGGCCGGCCCTGGGGACCGGGGTCCCGCCGGCACTCCCGGACCCCAGCGGGCGCTCAGGAAGCGAGAACCCCAGTGCACAGGATGCTCTCCTATTGGGCGTTACGTCTTCCCTGCTCGTTTTTGGTGCTCAAACACAATGTTTTATGAACTGGGGATAAAAACTGCGGATTGTTTTTTATTCGTGTCTTGGCTTGGCAAAATTTAAAGGAGGTAACTCTATACTCATGCCTCAGATGGAAAACAAATCACTAGCCCATGAAGTCCAAATGTTTCATGTAGAGTCAAGCACCTCCCCAGCCAGCTGGCATGGTGCAGGGGTGCCCGCTGCCAGGAGAGGCTCTGGGGCAGCCGAGGGGTGCCCTGTGGCTGCCCCCGGGGCCTGTGACGGTCCGAGGCTGGCTCTCTGGGGCCGGGGCTGCATCCTCCCCTGGCAGGTGCACCCCCCCAGCCCCCTGCCCCCTGCCCCCTGCTCCCCACTCACACACACTGCCACTGACTGTGAACTCCCAGTCCGATGTCTCCAGAGGTGGGGGAAAAGGGACCTCCCCTCTCTTCACCCAGACAGCCCACAGCCCAACCCCCATCCCTGGACCCAAAGTGGGCACCCAACCCCCGGGCACCCGCCGGGCTCCGGGCTGCCGGCCCTTGGGTCCCGAAGCCGCGGGGAGCGCGGTGCCTCCCTGAGGACTCCCTCGGGCCTGCAGGCGGGTTTCCTGCGGCTCCTGCAGCTGTTTCTGGTCCAAAGAGAGGGCCCGCCCCCCAGGAGATGGGGTGCCCCGTGAGACACCGAGGGTTCCCGGGGAGCGAATGAGTGGGACACTTGATGCGTTTTCAACCTGCCCGGTTCGCAGGCTCGGCCAGTGTCTAAACACAGCGTTCGCCTTTGTTTTCACAAAGCCCACAGCTGATCGGGTCCTCTCGCCGATGGTTTTCCCAGACGCGCTCCCCGGCACTGGCGTGGAGGCTGCGGCTTCGCCATGACTCAGAGCCACCGGGGTCCTCCCCAGCCCAACGCCGAGGCCGTGCCGGGCGCCGGGCCCGGGCTGTGCCAAGCACGTTAGGAAAATAAACCCTCCTCCGGCCTTCGCGGGCCTCACAACAAAAGAAACCACATTAATAACCGGGCTTTTCTTGAAAGCATTCCCTCCTGTGGGCAGGGCGGAAACAGAGATGCAGACACGCTGAGAAAATAAACAAAGCCTGGGCCCGGGCAGGCCCTGCCCGAGGAGGCGGCCTGGGACCTGCTCCCGGAAACCTCAGGCCTCGCGGTCCGGCTCCCGAAGATTCGGGGTGCTGGTGCTCTGGGGGCACAGCCCGAGCATGGGGCACAGGCCGAGTGTGAGCACAGGCCGAGTGTGGGGCACAGGCCGAGTGTGGGGCACAGGCTGAGTGCGGGGCACAGGCCGAGTGCGGGGCACAGGCCGAGTGTGGGGCACAGGCTGAGTGTGGGGCACAGGCCGAGTGTGGGGCACAGGCCGAGTGTGGGGCACAGGCCGAGTGTGGGGCACAGGCCGAGTGTGGCGCACAGGCCGAGTGTGGGGCACAGGCCGAGTGTGGGGCACAGGCCGAGTGTGGGGCACAGGCCGAGTGCGGGGCACAGCCCGAGTGTGAGCACAGCCCGAGTGTGGGGCACGGGCCGAGTGTGGGGCACAGCCCGAGTGTGAGCACAGCCCGAGTGTGAGCACAGGCCGAGTGTGGGGCATGGGCCGAGTGTGGGGCACAGGCCGAGTGCGGGGCACAGGCCGAGTGTGGGGCACAGGCCGAGCGTGGGGCACAGGCCGAGTGTGGGGCACAGGCCGAGCGTGGGGCACAGGCCGAGTGTGGGGCACAGGCCGAGTGTGAGCACAGGCCGAGTGTGAGCACAGGCCGAGTGTGGGGCACAGGCCGAGTGTGGGGCACAGGCCGAGTGTGGGGCACAGGCTGAGTGTGGCGCACAGGCCGAGTGTGGGGCACAGGCCCAGTGTGGGGCACAGGCCCAGTGTGGGGCACAGGCCGAGTGTGGGGCACAGGCCCAGTGTGGGGCACAGGCCCAGTGTGGGGCACGGGCCGAGTGTGAGCACAGGCCGAGTGTGGGGCACAGGCCGAGTGTGAGCACAGGCCGAGTGTGGGGCACAGGCCGAGTGTGAGCACAGGCCGAGTGTGAGCACAGGCCGAGTGTGAGCACAGGCCGAGTGTGAGCACAGGCCGAGTGTGGGGCACAGGCCGAGTGTGGGGCACAGGCCGAGTGTGAGCACAGGCCGAGTGTGGGGCACAGGCCGAGTGCGGGGCACAGGCCGAGTGTGGGGCACAGGCCGAGTGTGAGCACAGGCCGAGTGTGGGGCACAGGCCGAGTGTGGGGCACAGGCCGAGTGCGGGGCACAGGCCGAGTGCGGGGCACAGGCCGAGTGCGGGGCACGGGCTGAGTGTGGGGCACAGGCCGAGCGTGGGGCACAGCCGAGTATGGTGCACAGGCCCAGTGTGGGGCACGGGCTGAGTGTGGGGCACGGGCTGAGTGTGGGGCACAGGCCGAGTGTGGGGCACAGGCCGAGTGTGGGGCACAGGCTGAGTGTGGGGCATAGGCTGAGCGTGGGGCACAGGGGAAGGGACCTCCCCTCTCTTCACCCCGGTCCTCGGGTCCCGAAGCCGCGGGGAGCGCGGTGCCTCCCTGAGGACTCCCACGGGCACAGGCCGAGTGTGGGGCACAGGCCGAGTATGGGGCACAGGCCGAGTGTGGCGCACAGGCCGAGTGTGGGGCACAGGCCGAGTGCGGGGCACGGGCCGAGTGCGGGGCA